CTTCCAGTGATCATTGCTTGGATTACATGTGAACCTACTCAATTTATTAACTACGAACGCAATGTCAAGACGTGTGCAGTTCATTAAATATATCAGACTTGCAATAACCTGAGAATATCTTAATTGATGTACAGGTTCACTTCTATTTTTTGCTAAGTGTAGACTCATGTCTACCGGAGTTTTGATTGGACTTTCATCAAAGACTCCAAATCTCTTTACCACAGACTCAACATAATGAGATTGTGAAAGAACGAGGCCATCTAGTGTTTTAGAAATTTTAATTCCAAGAATTACATCTGCTATACCCATGTCCTTCATGTCAAAATATTTTGTTAGCATTTTCTTAGTGGAGACAATGATATCATGATTGCTACCCAGAATTAGCATATCATCCACATATAAACATACTAAGACATATGCTGTCGATGTACTCTTATTATACACACATTTATCACACTCATTAATTTTAAAATCATTTGACAGCATTGTTTTGTCAAACTTTTGGTGCCACTACTTTGGCGCTTGTTTTAGTCCATATAAAGATTTAACGAGTCTGTAAATCTTTTTCTCTTGTCCATGAGCGACAAATCCTTCAGGTTGCTTCATGTGTATTTCTTCTTCTAACTCACCATTTAGAAAAGTTGTTTTAACATCCATTTGATGAATTTCGAGATTATGTATCGCAGCAATTGCAATAAGGATTCTTATCGAAGTAATCCTCATTAGTGGTGAGTAAGTATCAAAGAAATCGAGACCTTCCTTTTGTCTATATCCTTTTGCTACCAAACGAGCTTTATATTTATCAATAGATCCATCCGATTTTAACTTTTTCTTGAAAATCCACTTGCAACCTAGAGGTTTATTTCCAGGTGGGAGATCAACCAACTCCCAAGTATGATTTTGCATTATCGATTCAATTTCACTATTGATAGCTTCTTTCCAAAAAGGAGCCTCTGGTGTTGACATTGCTTCACCGAATGTCTTTGGTTCATTTTCGATCATGTATGTTATAAATTCTGAACCGAAGGACGTAGATTTTCTATCCCTTTTACTGCATCTGGGTTCTTCTTCATTTTCAGCATCATTTGTAGTATCGTAAGTTCGTTTTGTTGAACTTACATCACTTTTGTCTTTACGAGGAAAGACATCTACTAAGAAACTTGCATTCCTTGATTCAATTATTGTATCTTCATGTATATCCGTAATTTCAAATTTATGCACAAGAAAGCGATATGCACTACTGTTATGAGCATATCCAATAAATATGCAATCTACAGTTTTTGGTCTTATTTTTATTTGTTTAGGTTTTGGCACTTCTACATTTGCCAAACACCCCCACACTTTCAAGTATTTATATGAAGGTTTATGATCTTTCCATAATTCGTAAGATGTTTCATCCTTTACTTTGTGTGGTATTTTGTTAAGAACGTAATTTGCCGAGAGGATAGCCTCCCCCCACAAATTCTGTGGTAGGCCAGAACTAATCAACATAGCATTCATCATTTCTTTAAGTGTGCGGTTCTTTCGTTCCGCAATACCATTAGATTAAGGTGAGTAAGGAGCCGTTGTTTGATGAATGATGCTTTGTTGAGAACAAAATTCTTCAAACGGCGCTCCATATTCTCCACCTCTATCACTTCGAACAATTTTTATTGTTTTGCTAAGTTAATTTTCAACTTCATTCTTATAATGTTTAAACATTTCCAAAGCCTCATCTTTGCTTTTTAATAGATAAACATAACAGTACCGAGTGCAATCATCAATGAAAGTGATGAAATACTTTTTCCCACCTCTAGTTTGTACGAATTTCAAATCACATATATCGCTGTGAATTAATTCTAAAGGTAAAGTATTTCTATCAACTGAAGGAAATGGTCTTTTGGCTAACTTAGCCTCAACACAAGTTTCACATTTGTGATTAGGATTGAAACTTAGAGAAGGTAGCAAATTTAATTTTATTAATTTGCGCACAGATTTAAAGTTTGCATGTCCTAATATTTTATGCCATAAACAAGAAGAATCAAGAATATACATAGAAGTAGAAGCTTCATTAATCTTGTTCAATTTAGGTACAACGGTAAGGACGTTCATCTTGAACATCCAATCGGTCATGTAACATTTTCCAACGTACATCTCATTTTTAGTTAGTACAAATTTGTCAGATACAAATACTAACTTAAAAACCCATTCTTGCCAAGAAAAGAACCAGAAATAAGATTTTTCCGAATGTTTGGCACATATAGCACATTGTTGAGGACAAGTTCCTTGCCAGATGTCATCTTCAAGGTCACATTTCCTTGTCCTTCAACCTTTGAACTTGAGGAATTTCCCATGAACAGTTGTTCTCCATTGATAGTTTTGTAATCATAAAATACATTCTTTTCAGCACAAATGTGGCGAGTGGCACCAGTGTCCACCCACCATTCCCTGGGATTTCCAACACTATTACATTCAGATATTACAGCAGATAGGTGCATTTCTTGAACACCTTCAGACAGATTTTCAGTTTCAACAACATATGCACGGTCATTTTGCTTTTTAGGCTTGCGACAATCAATTGCACGATGTCCAGGTTTGCCACAGTTGAAGCAGTCCCCTTTGAACTTCTTGTTCTTCTTGTTGTTTTCTTTTTTCTTCGGAGCAAAGTTTGAGTGCTTCCTTTTCATGTTCTTCTTTGAACTTGATTCAACCATGTTTGTCTTAGCTTCCATGCTTGGTCCCTCGTTCCTCCTTTTAGATTTCTTAGTATCTTCTTCGATCCTCAAACGCATAATCAACTCCTCCATGTTCATTTCCTTACATTTGTGTTTGAGGTAATTTTTGAAATCTCTCCATGAAGGCGGGAGTTTTTCAATTACTGCTACTACTTGTAATGACTCACTTACAGTCATTTTTTCAGCATGTAAATCATGGAGGAGTACCTGCAAATCTTGAACTTGGGAAATAACAGATTTAGAGTCAATCATTTTATATTCCAAAAATTTTCCGATAAGAAATTTTTTAGATCCAGTATCTTCAGTTTTATATTTTTTCTCTAAAGATTCTCATAGTTCTTTTGCAGTTTTCATTGTGCTATATACACCATATAGCGAATCATTCAGTCCATTCAGTACATAATTTTTGCATAAGAAATCAGAATATTTTCATACGTCCAAGGCAATAATCGAAGCTCGATTATTTTCTCCTTGTTGAACAGTAGGAGGATCCTCTGTGAGAAACTTTGCCAGGTTCAGAGTGGTGAGATAGAACAGCATTTTCTGCTGCCATCTCTTAAAATCGACCCCATTAAATTTTTCAGGTTTCTCTCCGTGAGGAACATGAGTTGAACTAGAAGGACCAGACATTGTCGGCGTTACAGTAGCCACAGTTGGCATCACAGCCACAGCAGAGGGAATTGCATTGATCCCAACAGTGTTAGCCATTTCTGTTTTCAAAACAGAAGATCAACCAGTCAGAATTTACAAATTAAAATTCTGTAGAATAGTAATTTCACATAAGAGCCTGCAAAAGTTAGAAATAAGCAAGTACAATTTTGGAAAATAATTTATAAAGTAAAAACGTCTTAAGAATGTTGTTTTCGATTTGTTGTACAGAACAAATTTTTCATAAATGACTTGCTAAACCAGATGAAAAATTGCAAAACAGTTAAAAAAATAGAATATCATTTCCAGAAAATAAATTGCACAGAATAAAGCAGAAGCATAAACAAGTCCAGGATGATCGAGGCGAAAACTAGACTCTCTGTCCTTAAGACGTTTTTACCCGTCACACGGTGCTTATGGTATGTGGTAAAGCGTCTCCCAAGATACAACGATCAGACACTTGCAGAAGCAGCTCTTCGACTGCAAGACAACGAACCAGAACGGAAGTACTTTCTGTAGACTATTGCAGAGAAGAAGAGTATGTATGCAGAATGATTTCGTGATGTTTCTGTGTGTTGTTTTTAAAATTGAAAGCCTGAGGACCATTCAAATAGAGGAGAGAGTTAACGGTTGAGCAGTTTCCATCCACCACTCACGCCCACTTAATGCACAGTTTTAGCAAATTGATGGATCGGTTAATAAACTATCAAAGGAAGGGAATTAATTGAATTTAAAAAAAAAATTAAATTAATATTAACATAGGCCCATACCCACAACCCAACCTGACTGGCCGGTTGGACGGCGCGCGTGCGTGTGGCCTTTGGATTAATCTAGACATTGTCTAAAACTCCCCCATTTCAAAGACTATTGGTACCTCTTGGGGCCCAAACTCATATCCAAACTTGAAGTTTATTAAGTGGTTCAAGGTTGTGTTTGCAACCTATGTGGGATTGGAACATTTTTCCAATTCTTTCCTATTTATTCGTCTTATTTATTGTCCTACTTTTAACCATAATTTCTCATTCATATTGAAGTGGTTTTTCACAATTAAATATTCTACACTCATCTTCTCAGAACGTAGAATTTAATTGAACATTAATTTCGATACATCGAACATCGGGTCCCACTTAAAATTGTGATCAAAGTTGACCCAATTGACCCACCATTTCCAACAGCATCAGCTAGCGAAACTTGTATGGAACTGCTCCCGAAGCGGCGACAACTTTCGCTCCAAGCACGGTCGGAAATAGTAAAGCAAGAGGTAGCCAAACCTTCGACGGAAGTGATGCCGGAGCTCCGACGGTAGAAGTGCCGCCGGAGAAGGTGAGGCGTGGGTTTTGATTTGGGGGAGAGAAATTTGCGTGGGGAGGGTTTCCTTCGTTTCCGAGGGTCTAGATTTGGGGATTTGGTTTTTTATTTTATTTTTTATATGCCACGTCAGTCGGGATATAAACCCTATTAACAAACCCTGTTTGTGTAGCAGGTAAAATCACGTTCTATTTTTATAGCCTTTTCGTTATACCTGCGGAATTGGATGACACCCAAATTGGTAGGTACCCTCTTTGTATGGTACTGGGCCTGGTCTAGCAAAGTCAGCCCAATTGTTATGGGCAAATTGCGTACTCTGCCAAACTACTCGCAGCCCAATTACGTGTCGAGCCTAGAATACCATAAAGCGGTTCAAGAAACAGGACAGCATAAACTGATAAACCTCCTGAGCAAGGCCACACCGCGTAACTATTCGGAACGACGACAAACCCTAATACCATATAAACGGAATTTCGACCATGGGTACGTATTTTCTATTAATTTTTGGTTGATCTATAATTTTTTTATGCTGCTCGTTGAATTTCTGCTAACTTCTAATTTTTCCCCTATATCATTCCGCGGAATTGTAAATTCGTAAGAAATGTGCATTCAGAAATGCTGTCTTTCTTTCTTTATTATTATTATTATTTTTTAAGTGAAATCGTTGCTGATTAAATTGGGATTCTGTTTTGTTTTGTTTTGAATTTTCTAACTCGTGATAGATATTGAGGAGGATATCAAAGCTTTGCAGCTTGATTCGGCTGGTATGGTGTTCATTTATAATTTGTTGCTTTCTATTTTTAATTCTTAAGTTAGATATTGCAATTATATACGAGTATTGAATATTCAAAAGTTTGACAGTTAAAAATTAGACCATGATCATTATCCTAAGACTATTTAATAAATTACTATTATACTTTTATTTTGATATTGAACTGTTTTGGCTGTGTATTTTTATCTTAATGCGCCTGATATGGTTGTAAACCTGATATAATGGATGGAGATCAGTGCATTGCAAAATTTTCTATAACAAGCCTTAGAAGGAGAATTGTGCCATCTTCTGGATTTTTTTTTTAGGAAAAATAAAATATTTATTTTCATGCATAAATTATTGTGACCTTATTGGTTTATTTTATTTTATTTTTTCGTTCCTAAACATCGCAAAAAGGCTCTTTAGTTTATAGAAAGTTATCTAGCAAACGCCTCAAATAAGATTTCTCCACCCAAAGGTTGTCTAGCATAACACTTCCTCTTGGTTAATTATAGTATTTGTGTGAAGTGTTCAAATGTGGATTGCCATTGTAGAAGAACCTGATAAGAAGTTATGATGGTTTGATTGGATTGGGGCTGGTTTTCATTTCTTGTTTGTATGATAGAAACTAGTCCATGAAGATGCTTGGAGTATAGGTGAGCTGTGGACCCTGCTGAATTTATCTGTCAACAATCACAATTTATTGTTCTGTCCATCGTTCATATTCACATTGGAACTGCCTATTGTTATAGGTAGCCGTCCGTAATAGGAAATAGTTGAGTGGCATGTAAATCATATAGTGAAATAAACATAAGTATTAATTAAGTAAGGATTTTGTGGGATCTAATAACTGAGTTCATGAAACTTCTTTACTTGCATGAATTTGAAAATTTTGCTCCCCAATTATTTTTACTGATCGCCAAATAGCAATAAAAGGCTGAATGGTAGCCTATTCTTTACCTGAGAGAAAAAGGTGAAGAGAAATACATTACTTATTTATAATCAAAATGATTTTTCAGGATGGTACACATATTCTTGCCAAGTTTAGTGCCACAAACTTCCCATAGTTCCTAGTTTTCAACTTATGTGTACAGTTCACCTATAATTACTTGACTCTTAAGACCATAGTAACTCATTTTTTTATAGCTTATATTACTTTTCATTTTTCACGACCATCATTATTGCTATTTCTATTTCACCATTAAAATAAACTATTCTTCGTTTTCAATTTTCATGAATGACAAATGAACTCCAGCAGAAGATAGTGTAGTGGCTGAAGATATGAAACTTGAGGAAGTGGAAAAACCTGATATGGTGGAAGGTTAGTGCAATGCGAACAGTTGAACTTGATATATGATACTTATTTCTTTTTCCGGAGTTGGGGATTTCTGCGCATATCTCCATTTTTCACTTCGTGTCCTTTAACTATCTTCGTGGTCACATAAAGCTTTTCTGCACTCAATTTTTGCGCCAATCAGTTCTTGTTGAAAGCTACTTGTCAACATCTTAAGATCGGCAAGTTAGCTGGTTCATCAGGATACATTATCCAAATATTTTTGTAATTTAGAAAAGAAAGGTAGGTGGCTTCAATATGAAAATGGGTTTTTCTGCGAAGTGTAAGAAGTATCAACTGCATGACAGGTTTTGGTGGTTCACAAGGCATCACATAATTCAGTTCTTATTTTCAGCATAGGTTGAACCATTGCTGATAATTTTGTGAAAATCTGTTGGAAGTTACTTGTCATCATTCAAAGATTGGCAAGTTATCTTTCCCATCCCTAGATTATATCAATTTAGATTATGAATAATGCTATCTAGCACCAGTCTAGGTGGGCACACTTGATATATTCAATTAAATAAATCATATAACATTATATTTAAGTGACCCATCATTTAATGCCATGCAATTGCCACATAGAATGGTGCTTGACACCATTGGTGCTGAATAACATTACTTATAAATTGCAATTTGGATTGGGAGACTTGGTGTCCGGCAAAGAAAATTTATCTTGCAGAATAGAGTAAGAAGTATCAAGTGCATGATAGTTTTTGTTGCATTAGCTATTACAATGTTAATAATTGACTACTGTCTCCAATTGAAAGTTCTCGGAGTTCAGTGTATGGGGAAGCCAAGTCAATTTCAGGCCACCAAACTCTGCAACTGATGAATTTTCTCACTGGCCCTGACTAATGGACCTAGAGAGTCAGGACAATGTAGAGATTCTGAGCGTTGTTAAGTGTTGCCTGAATTTTTCTAACAGACTTGTCTGGTATTTTAGTCTAGGTAAGGAGGTTTGTTGAGTTGGAGGAATGTTTTGTCGAACTGGGCCATGAACTTGTATAAATTACAATAACCTTTCATTCTGTATATCATATTCTGAAAAGTTCACTTTTGTTGTATCATCTATGTATCCATGAGTGTCAACCTTGTCGTTTCCGTGGATGTTCTCTAGTCTATAGCATTTGCATCCTTTTTGGAGAACTCGGGAGTTGTGCCTTCATGTTTAGAAATATTTCTCATCCTGTCGTATTTATGTCTTTCTTGATCTGTTCTTCCCCCATTTTAAAGAAGGTTGTTCTTTACTAGTGTCACGTATGGTCAGAATGTCAGTAGTTGAACTGAAAAAAAATGTAATGATTGTTGCTTAGCCCAAAATTGGGCTTTGCAATTGTTGGTTTTATTTCCATTGGAAGAAAACGAATGATAGAGCATGGAAAATGACTGTCTTTGGGGAGTCCATGCTATTTTTTGTTGATGAGAAGAAATAAGATAACAAAATCTCATAATGGCATTAGTATTTTGGTTTGATTTAGAGCTCTATCTGGATCTGTTCACGTGAATACATTCTATAAAGTGCATGACACTGCTAATTTATCCATTTCCTTTCTTTTTTCTTGTTTTTTGGTTTTGAGCTTCTTCCAAGTTGATGGTTTGTTTATCTTTGGGGAGAATATGCAAATGAACTAGATTCTCGGGCTACTTAAAATGTTTCTTGTCTGCATCTTTTGGATACTCCTCTCTGACTATATTTTTTGATGCATGCTTTGACAAGCATCTGCTCTCAGTACAATACACTGATTTTTACTTAAACCTGGAAATTTCTATTTTTGTGCAATTGCTATAAGTAAATGCCAAGATGTTAATTTTGCTGTTGGCTTTTTGTTCTACAGACCCGGCACACGCAAATTTCAAACCAGCACAAGTTGAACTGAATGATGTCACAGAAGGTACACTGTTTTTTGCCGAATCTAGCATCTTCTGTGCCTTGACATTGTTTGGAATAAGCACCATATTATAACTCTGTCTTTCCCACTTGACTACTACATCTTTTCAATTCTCTCTCTCACGTACTCCGTCCAACCCAATATAAATTTTAATTATCCTTTGTATTTTGTCTATTCCCAAATTTGTCCTTGTTGCCTAAAGTATTAGGATTCAAGTTTGTACTGCTCATTAAGTTCAATTGGGTCAAAGTTTTACTTAGCAATAAGTGTTATTATAGCTACCTCCTGTTGGGAGGGTTCCTGAAAAAAAAAAAAAAAGTGAAAAAAGAAAGAAAGATGATGTTAAAAGTGTGAAATTACAACTTTATTTTGCGGTCTTAATTCCAGAGCAATGTGCAATGTCAGACTTGAAATTTAATATCGTACAGGGGGAGCAATACATTTAACGATATGTATTGTTTACATGTTTACCTATTTCTTGTACAACTATCATAATTCTTCTGTCTACATATATAGTAGAAATAAATTGCCCCATCATCTTCCCATTATGCATATCTGTCACTATGTAAGGTTGTTTGTTGTAAAAATTTATTGAGGATTAGCAGGTTTGATTTCAACATGCATTGCACTTGCCATAGTATTTCAATTTTCTTTGATTTGATTTGGAACTTTTGTTTCTCCTTTTGCTTTACTGAGCAACATCCTACCACCCAAAAATCACTGGGGAAAAAAAAGGAAGAAAAATGAAATTTAACTTCAGTATTCTCTTAAACAAATGGTATATGGCATGAAATTTAACTTCAGATTCTCTTAAACAAATGTTCTTCTTTTTCTTTTCACTTTTTTTTTTCCAACATATATTGTGTTTATGATAATTTTTCTGTTTTGGTATTTAGTGAGAGAAAAGGAACGGTCAGCTCCTGAGGAATTTGAAGATGAGGTGGAGGGCAATAAAAAGAGGCACTTGAATGTTGTTTTCATTGGTCATGTTGGTAGGTTATTCTTTTTATAGATGTTAGGCTTATAGCAATATTGACTGGAATTGGTTACATAATATTGATCTTCTGTGTTACTGGTCATAGCACATGAGTTGTCACCTTGGTAGGTTTAGGCGTGTATCCACTGGATGTTCTATATGTTTGGATAAACCTCTACTTTCAAGAACCACCACCCCAATTGCTTACTTTTGCACCCCTGGAATTGAAAAAGAACAGAAAACCAAAAATGAAACAAACAAAAGAATTTAACTTCATAATCTTACTAAAAATTCTTACACCGTGACTGGATATCCTAAAATTGAAATTTAAGCTGTTGGTACCATCTTCAAGTTTCTTATTGTGAGTAGGATTCTTTATCTGATCTGCAGACGCTGGCAAGTCCACAACTGGAGGACAAATATTATTTCTCAGTGGTCAAGTCGATGATCGAACCATCCAGAAGTACGAGAAAGAAGCAAAAGATAAAAGTAGAGAGAGTTGGTAAGTTCTTATTTTCGTCAATGTTAAACGATTTGAAATGTTACAGTCCGGCTTTCTTTCAGCGTGTCTCTGAACTCTAAAGATGGACTTTGATCAAGAACAAATATTGCTTTGTTGTAAATCTGAAAGCTGGCTTGAATCTATTATGGGATTACACTGATAAGGAGGAACTGCCCATTTTATCCCAGTTAATCCTCGGAAATTTTTTGATGTACCATAATATTCCCAGCTTTATCAAGGCACCCAATCTACCTTTTCTCTTCTCTGTTATAGTTGGACATGGTGCCGGTATTTGGTGTGAGCATATGTTGAAATGTCTGAATAAACAAGTGTATGTTTATTTGTTGTTCCTTCAGTTGTGCTTTGCATTCGTTTTGACTATGGAACTTGTGCATGACAGCTAAAACATGCTGGTTCATTTTTTTGCTCATCTTTATATAGTCTTTGTGATGCTTGTGTGGTTAATGAATCCCTCTACATAGAATGTAACTGCTCATAGCATCAATTATTCTGGATGCTTTTGTTGATATTTTTTCAAATTATTAGGTACATGGCTTACATTATGGATACAAATGAAGAGGAGAGGACTAAGGTATTTATTGTACATAAAAAGTTGTCCCATTTTGCTTCTGTGGTTTGGTTTGTTATTAGTTATTTCCATAAAATATGCATTTGAATGCATCTGAAGATTTGGGTTATGTTTTATTTTTATTATAGGGAAAAACAGTTGAAGTTGGAAGAGCTCACTTTGAAACAGAAACTACAAGATTTACAATTTTGGATGCCCCGGTAAATATTTTCTTCTGTCGGCATTCTTCATGATTTGTTCTTTTATAGATATGGCCTGCAATTTTTTTCTATACATTACATTAGTTGTTTGAATATACAGATATGTTATGTGTGGTTCTCTTTTACATTCATATAAACTTTTCATCATCAATGTGTCCCCCAACTAGGATGGAGGCTGTTTAATCATCCAATAATTGCTGAACTCTTCTAAATTTTATGTAATTTTAGGAACAAGGCTGTTTGATTATCTTATGTTTTTTCAAATGTTAATTTCAGTGAAAATTGGTGGATTTTCTGATGTGGTTTAATTTAGTACTTTATAACTTTGACTGGTCGATAATACAAAGTCTTCTTGTTAAAGTTAGATCTTGAAGTGGTAGTTAAGCCCCCATTTGTCCCCCATTATGTGGAAATGAAAATGGGTGGAATAGTTTTTTTTTTTTTTTTTAAAAAGAGGGGTTGAAAAAGAAGGAAAAATTTTCGATTTACGTATAATATCATTATATGGAAGGTTGTGTGGCTAAAAGTAGGAGAGAGAAAAATGAAATATAATGGAAAGAAAATTAATGGGGGCCAAACGGGGTCTAAATGATTTGGCAGTCAAGTTCTGCAATTCCCCGATCAACTGCCCGTATTACTTTTGCTTACTAGAGTAATTTGTGTAAAGTAAAAGCTATCAGGATGACAGAACTCTACCTGAGTGCTTAACTGCTGTCGTTTAAACCTTTGGGTGCATTCTTTAAGTTTTGTTTCCTCTTTTTTCTCTTCATTTCTAATTGTCAGTGGCTGATAATTCTTTTACTTTTAAACCCAAGTTTTGTTCAATATGTTTTTATACCATAAAGAAGTTATAAGAGATTTTCACAACTTCATGCACATTTTCCTGCCAATCTCAAGATTAAAAAATATTCCTGCATTCTTATTAAGTTTTATACACTTATCTTGGCTAATTGATTACTCTTAAAAACTATTTAGATCATAAGAGCTGGCTGATCATTGGAACTGGACCAAATTTTCATTGCAATATTCAGTAAATTTCAGATTTAACGGATAAAGTTTAGTTTTGTGGAGCATTCTTGATTCCTATCAGAAATGGAATTTAAAGTTCTCATTCTTTTCTGGCGAGAAGGCATTGTAATTTTATATGATAGAGGATGTGTAGGAAAAGTTTTTTATCAAAAAAATTTCGATTGTGGATATCGACGATTCTTTAACCTACAGAGAAGACTGCTGTATTCTCTTAAAAATAGTTGAAGCAGAGCCTAAAAGACGACTAATGATTCAATAAGTTATGCTTCAGTATTTTGCCAGTCTCCCTTGCAGTCCTGGTTTATTTTTTACCATTCTTTTTTTATTGGTATTTAGCGTGTCTTTTTACTTTTGATATTTCAGGGTCACAAAAGTTACGTGCCTAACATGATCAGTGGTGCATCACAAGCTGATATAGGTGTCCTAGTAAGTAGTGTTGCAGCATGCAGATGAAATCTTACTTGTGATTTGAATTGATATTCTGTTGGTTTCCAGTTCTTCTTATGCCACATTATGGCGTCCAGGTAATTTCTGCTCGGAAGGGAGAATTTGAAACTGGATACGAGAGAGGTGGACAGACACGTGAACACGTCCAACTTGCAAAAACTTTGGGAGTCTCAAAGTTGCTAGTTGTTGTGAACAAAATGGATGATCCTACTGTGAACTGGTCAAAAGAAAGGTGCTTGCTTGAATGGATTTTTATTTATTTATTTATTTTTTAATCCTTACAGATATTCTGATGTTCGTCTTCTTAATATGCTGATATTATTTTCCTGTTGCAGATATGATGAGATTGAGTCAAAAATGATACCATTTCTTAGGTCTTCGGGTTATAATGTGAAGAAAGGTAAACACGGTGACCATCTAATTGACACTCTTTTTTCTTAATGCCAACAATTGAGTGCTCCTATTTTCCATTTTGGGGTGGCGAGAGAGAATTTCTTTCATCAATGAGTTATTTAGTTTCCAGAAGTAAGCCCTTAGGTTTGAGGGTAGAATGGAAGTACTCGAAATACCCATGTTTATCTAAATTACTATGCTAATTCAATTGAGAGTACTTATTATTTTTCGTCATCCTCCACTTGCAAAGGAGCCTCTCCTTTCCTTCCTCCTTTGTTTGGAAAAGGCAGAAAAAGGGGAAAAAACCTGTAAAAGTTCTAGGCTATAATAGAATAGCCCAAAAAGTTGAGACCAATAATAAAAAGGCCTAGAAAAGTTGGCAAGGCAAATGAGTGCATGCCTAGCCACCTTGAGCCGTAAACTTTTGCAAATGACATTCAATGTGTGCAAGCTTCGAGGCGTTCTATGGAAACCTCATTTGAGGCCTTCCTCGAGGCATAAGCCTCACACCTTTTAAAATTATGTTTATAGAGTTATATACCTCGGGTGTTTATTTACAGTTCCTGGTGATGCACACATTTTGTACTAAAAATAAAATCTTAAGCCTTTGTATAGCAGTCAAAACATTTTATCTGTTACATCTGACATTGTCTCATAATTGCTTTTTTATATGAACATCAGAGGAATTCTTGACTTCATTCTTTGTTGTTGTGTTAGTTTCTTGTTTCTCCTTGTATTTATCTGCAAGCTTTGAATATATGGTTTTAATTGATGTTGGTTTGAAGAACTCTTTAACGAAATTCGAAGCTACGTATGCATTAACGAAGCTTATAGTTTTTGTCTAATGTGAGAAGATAAGGATCCAGTGTCTGCAGTTTTTCTTTCAAATGAAGTGTCGGAAAGAAATGATATTTCCTTCTGTGATGGCAATCTGCATATTGAAAATACCTCGCATTATAATGTTCTTGTCTGCTTGTTTGTCAATTTCTGACTTTTGGTTATTATTAATTATTTCTCATTTCAGATGTTCTGTTTCTTCCAATATCTGGGCTTATGGGGACAAATATGAAAACAAGATTGGACAAAAGTGTTTGTTCGTGGTGGAATGGTCCATGTCTTTTTGAAGCTCTCGATGCCATTGAAGTTCCTATTCGGGATCCAAAAGGTCCATTTAGGTAAGAATAACTGTATCCTGTCTGTGACTAATTAAGTGTACCCCAGGACTCAAACTCAACGAATTGCCCAAAAACCTGCCACTTTCCCTGAATATCGGTGTACCCTCACCGATGATTTGATTTAATCTTCCGAGGATCTAGCTCTCATTCTTCAGCTAAAATGATGAGACCCAACATCACGACTAGCTAAAAAAAAAGTAGCACTTCTTCAATTTAACATGGTTTCTCACTTCTTCTGGGAGTGTATAAGATTTGTCAGATATGATTGAAGATCTTATCCTTGCTCTGTATGTAAACATGGAATAAGAATAGCAACCATAAAAACTTCAATAAATAGTCATAAATCTCTGTCTCACCCAATCAAATAGTTGCTTAGGAGTTTTAAAGGGTGCTTCCCATCCATCTCGACTCCTAAGCCAAATATGATGATACCGACTTCTTATTGTCAAGCCTTTATGTTATTCTTATATCTCATCTAGCCTTGGATTTGGTTGCTGGTATTTGATATTGATCTTTTTCTTCAACCTTAGGATTTGCTTAAATTTGTTTGACCACTTTAAGGTCTCTATTAGAAGACTCGTGTAAGAACCATGGCCTATGTCATGACTTTTAAAACATCAAAGGGTAGATGGTGTAGAGCTACTTCTAACATCTCTTGCCGCTCCAAAATGCACTAATTTTTATCCTTGTCCACCTTCATTTGGTCCTCCATCAACTTTGATCTTTGTACTCTTAATAATGTTGCTTTTCTAGTCTTTTATATGTGGTTTTAAGTATGTTTTCTGCCAAAGAAACCGCTATGCCAGGGGCGGACCCAAGGGGGGTCCCCTAGGGTCACTTGACCCCCAGTTTTTCCAATTTCTTTTTTCTTTTCTTTTTTTTTTTTTTTTTTTTGTCGTCATTGTCTTAGTTTTTGGGCTCACTATGAAATATCAAACGAAATTGAAATATTATATCTTTAATATCATTTTTGAAGTACTCACAGCCTAATATTTTCACGTCGTTAATGTTGTGCGAAATGGCCAATCGTAGTAAATGTTATGACGCATCAAATTAGGCAGTTCCAAACTAATATTTTGAGAATTTCGATAACAAGTTAACTTTAAAAAAATTTCGTTGATTATACGCTAGCCATATCCTTAATTCTTCTATATCCTGTGGAAGCTCATTTCTAGAACTATATCATAAATATATCGAATGATCTAAATGAATATTGAAAATAGTTAAACGTACATCAAACGTGTATGCTAAAAAGAGATGTATAACTCGTCTTTTTTGAAGAAAAAAAATTCAATTATTTTATTAATGTTTATTATTTTTGCACGAAAATTTTTTCAATATAATTTACATCATTTTATTAGGAAATTTTGTATGTGGTATGATGTCATACTTTTTTTTTTTTTTTGACGTAAAAATTCTTAATAAAATTTTTATTACTTCATAGGGGTTATAAATTGTTATACTATTTTTTCATCTCGATTATTTTTTTGTCTGAAAAAAATTATATATAAAATTCAATCATTTTTAGGATTTTTTTTTCTATTATTGTTACATTTTCCTCTCGATTAATAATTTTTTTTTCAAATGACTTCAAAAATTTTATTAGGAAATTTATTAGATTATTTTTTTAAAAAAAAATTAATTGATTGAGAGGAAAAAGTAACAAAAAAAAAAAATCCTAAAAATGATCAAATTTTTTTGTACATATTAAAAAAAATTTAGATGTAAAAATAATCAAAATGAAAAAGTAGTATAATAGTTTATTAACCCACATAAAGTAATAAAAAATTTCGTCACTTTTTTTTAAAAATTGATTGCGACCCCCTAATGTAAAATGGCTGTGTCCGCCCTTGCGCTAAGCCCTTGTTTGGTTCACATTAAAATTTTAATATATTTTTCTCTCTCTTCTTTTTAATTACACATTTTTCAATAAAATAGTATTACACGCAAATCAAAGATTTTTCCTTTTTTTTTAGTCACACATTTTCCCCAAAAACTATTATTTCAAAATACATTTTATCCAAATTTCTCATTCTTATAGTTGTCAAACAGGGGCTAAATCTCGCTAACTATCATTTGACACCTATCTCTGTGTTGACCCACTGTTTCCTATTCTTTTAATGCATATGGATGTGCATATGCAAGACCAGAAAGAGCAATAGGTACATAGATGGTTAGGATTTCATTATATCATTCTTTTGTATGCTTTGAATCCTGGAACAGTGATTAAAAAAAAGTACAGAATTCTCTGACACTTTTTATTTATTTGGAATCATGCTTATTGTAGATTGGAAAAAGAAACCACCAATTGTGCAGTTTCTACTTCTGCCTGCACTGTTAATTTGTATGATAGAACTTTCATTTTTTTCAGCTCCAGAAAAATGGAACTTATATTTTATCTGTTTGTTCAGAAGAACAGTAAATTATTAACTGTATCTCTTGATTTTCTTTGGAACATAAGAGCTTTTATTTTTCTGTGTACATAACTATTTTCTTGATTTGGTAGGCTGCCTATTATTGATAAATTCAAGGACATGGGAACTGTTGTTATGGGCAAAGTTGAATCCGGTAGTATTTGCGAAGGTGACTCCGTGCTTATCATGCCAAATAAGGTGCTTTATCTATTTCTTTCTTGATCTTGCATCAAAATATATTTTTGACCAACAACTAGCTTGACGGTGAACTTTACGAACTAAGTCTGCACTCGAAAATTTATCTTCAGGCCCAGGTGAAAGTTCTTGCTATTTTCTGTGATGAAGATAGAGTCAGGCTTGCAGGTCCTGGTGAAAACTTGCGAGTCAGAGTATCTGGGATCGAGGAAGAGGATATCTTAACCGGTTTCGTTCTGTCTAGCATCTGTATGCTTTTTCAATCCGAATTTCCTCAATCTTTAAGATGGGGGTCATTGTCACTTCTCTGATTTTCTTTTCTGTAGCATGATTATGCTTTAGATTTTTAGACCCAATTTATTTACATGCACTCATGCACATTGAATTGAGATTGATCATAGTTTTGGAGATCACAGCTTACTGTAACAGGAGACACACATAAAAATCTATTAATTTGAAATCATTTGATGGTTATCTTCTGTCTGAGTTGTGAACTTGAAAACTATCCCTCTGTTAATTCAATTCTTGAAAAACGAAGCACACTGAAGCAGTGGCGATGCAGTTCCGGGGTCAAGTAGAATAGTGTTAGTTCGCAGAATCTTACAGCAATACCGTTTCTTTTTATCTAGTCGGTGATTGATGTTGATATTCATACGTTCACTAAAATATGGTATGTAGTGTATATGCAGCCACCAGAATAAGCTGATATCCTTGAAACAAAAAGAAGAGAATATGTTTTTTAAGTAATTGTAGGGCTTAGTTATGCTTACATTTGTGTGTTTTGTTTGATTTTCTCTACCAACACTTTTTCGATCGAGCCTGTCGTACCGGACTTGCCTAGTGCGGCATGGCTGGCGTGGTTAAAGGCTATTGTGTCAGCTCGAGGGTTTTACCCAGTGCGCATCCGAGGAGTAGCGGTTTTGGGCTTCCCCGTCATTTAAAAAAATAATAAAAAAAAAAAAAAAATCATTTGTGTGTTTTAAATGAGCTATTTTGTATGTGCAGCACAACCGATAGCGGCTGTTTCCGAGTTTGTCGCCCAGTTGCAGATTCTAGAGTTGCTTGATAATGTATGTGTTTCTCTTGGTTTTTCTTCTCTCTCTCTCTCTCACACACACACACACACACACATATATGGCTTTTCTTCTCTCGTTTTCCTTAGATATATGTGTGATATAAGACAAATATATTCAACTTGAGGAAAGCCGGAGGCTAGGGTGGGGGGTGGAGTGCTTTCTCCTATAAACCATTATTATAATGGAAAAATGATGATGAAGTGTTCCTTTTATGCCAGGCTATCTTTACTGCTGGGTATAAGGCTGTTTTACACATCCATGCGGTTGTTGAGGAATGTGAGATTGTTGAGTTGCAGCAGCAGATTGATCCAAAAACAAAAAAGCCTATGAAAAAGAAGCCTCTCTTTGTCAAAAATGGTGCAGTAGTTGTATGCCGCATTCAGGTCAGCTGTGTTATTATTGGTTAATTGTGTTAATTTTCGGGTATGATACTTATGTGTGCAGAAGTAACTGCTGCTACTTTGTAAGCACACTACATGATTGTGTGGCACGTGTGGTAACATTCTGAAAAGCTAAATTGTTTTGGATTTTTGTCAAGAAAAAGGTTCCAATATATCATTCTGTGATCTTTATGCTAGCGTTGGCTCATGTTGATAGTAAGATCCTTTTAATATATACTTATAAGTTGATTTCTTCTGATGTCAAATTTTACTTACAGGTAACTAACTTGATATGTGTTGAGAACTTCTCTGATTTTCCACAGCTAGGACGATTCACTCTTCGTACTGAAGGTGAGAATAATTTTTCAATTGTTAGTATTTTTTCTTCTTTCCTTACTTCCAATGAAATCATCGAGACTCCCAATGTTGACAGGGAAAACCGTTGCTGTGGGTAAAGTAACTGGTCTTCCTACTGCAAGGGATGGCATATAAACAGTTTTAGCATTAGAGGTGAGTCCTTAGTTTTATTTCATCTGTAGTTCTATATTTGTTGCTTCCTCTGTATAAGCAAGTCATGGATATACTAAATTGATAATTTCTCTATGGTGTTTGTGTTATAATTCCTTGTATTTGACACTCACTTGTAATCTTGAGTAATTAATATAATGAAGCTAATAGTCCCTTCTGGCATTGCTAATAAGCACTAGGTGCTTTGAAACTAATCTTTATCCAATAATAGCCTTTTGCTTTTACTTTACATGCTCTTAAAGGGCGTTTAGATTTGCTTATAAGCTCAAGGGGAAAGCATTCAATTTTATTGAAAAGCTATTTTGGTATGCCTGGTAACCAATCCTTTGTCTTTTCAAGTAGCTCATAAGTCTTTCAATTTGTTGGTTGAGCTCCGAAAACCTATATGCTATAAAGGGATGTAAAGCTTTTGGTGCTTGTGAGTTTTATCTCTTCAACTAAAATTCCACATGGGTCTCTTAAGTTGACGATTTAAAGTAAAAATAACATATTGCCATCTGCATTTTGCTTTGTGGATATAGATTCATCCTTGTTCGTGTGAAATTTAAAACAAGTGTACTCAGGTGTTAAATGTAAATTTAAATTTTTGGTGATGTTTGTAGGTAAATCAGAGTGAGTGGATGTTTGGCTCATGTTATATATACTCAAACCACTTTGTATCCACACATTTTTATGGACCCACGAGTAATACAGTCTTATCCATCAATAGTTTTTGTCTATTTATAATTTAAACTGTTTCCGAACACTTTCCAACATGCTTTTAATCTAATGAAAAAAATGAAACATGAGTTTGAAGTTAAAATTCTCCAAAGAAGACAGAAGATTATGAACTAGGTCTGTGCAAAAGGTTCAGGACTTCGTATTACCTAGGACATTGTTTGTCAAATAAAAATGTCAAAACAATTTAAGTTGAAATTATTTAATGTGATGAATTAATAATACACTGAAAATTAAACTGATTCAAATCCTTCATTCCAGTCTCAAAATAGGTAAGAGGCAGGAGTTAAAAACTCATTTTTCTTGAAGGGTAGTTAGCCATGGGGGGTCTAGGCTGTGTAGATGTCCTAATTGGGCATGAAAGTAAGCTATTTGATGTGGCGGCTGTCGACCATCTTTAGGATTGCATTCAGTTAAGAAACATAAACTGTCTGTTGTATCTTTTTTTCAACAATGCCGTCTTATAAAAAATGCTGCACCATGATGCATTGCACATTGCTCAATGTTCATATATGGACATTTGATGGCTTTTTTTGCAGGCATATTTCTCTGTAGAAAATGAATGGTTGATATTATTCAAATGTGTTGTTTCACTTGTTTGTGTGATGCGATCGAGAAACATTATTTTGCAGGTAAGTTGAGCCAACAATGAAGATCTATCGACTCTTCCAAGCAGCAGAAGGGTGTTTGCAACTAGTGGCAGATTGATTTTGATATAAAATTTTACCTTTTCTGTTGCACATTATTTGAGGTGTCCGTGAGTTTTGATGATACACGTAAGTTAATAGCTTTGTCGAGATTTTTCCTCAATGGTATCAAAGTACTCCTCATTTCAAATCCAGGTGGTTATATTTATTGTAAAATCATTACATTTATGAAGTCATTTGGTGAACAAGACTATTAAATTATCTTATTTGTTGATGTAATATTTTGATGATAGAAAATTCTGCACTATTAATGGATCTAATAGCTGCTTATGGTTAGGAGGCATACGCATAGGCATAGGCATAGGCATAGGATTCCCCTCCAACGCAAACTTGGTATGACTGGAATCTGAAAATGAGACATGGTCCATACTTAGGGAAGGATTCTTGAATCTTGAATCACGGTCCATACCTAGCTCGACAGTTTTATGAATAATTTCTTAAGAGAGAATTAAAATAGCTCGATCCACGTTTACAGGTCTCTTTAAGAGAGAATAAAATAGCTCGATCCACCTTTACAGGTCTCTTAAAGAGAAAATTAAAATAGCTCGATCCACCTTGACCCGATCCCAAGTACATGTAGCATATTCTTGCATCAACTGGAAGCAGGTATCAACAGAATCAAGCAAGTGCTAAATTTCTACAAGCAGACACAGATTCCTTTACATGTCTAATTCTCTTCCACCAACTTTTGAAATGACTCGTGCCTCAAATTGGTCAATCGCAGTTCTTAAAGTAATTTGAGCAGGTAAAGCAGCAGCATATATAATTATGGAAAAGTCTATATGTACATAATTATTGCACATAATGTTGTCCATAATGTGATGTGGCAATCATCCAGTTGTTGATGTGAAAGTGCGAGATTGAATTAAAGGTCGGATTTAGTGTTACATGTAATTATGGACATCATTATGTAGACAATTATGTACATATATTTTCCTATAATTATATTCCATTTATTTGGGTTTCTTTTATCTCAAGAAAATATATAAATTTGTATATATGTTTGATACATATAAGATTCGTATCAGCTATTAAGAAATGATTATTCTTCACTATATATCAGAATCTCTTTCAAGTCATCAAAGTTTCTAAGAGGTTGTGGGTTTATCGTGACCTCTTACCATTTAATTAATAATGGATGTAGACAGTACTAAAGTCTACGAGAGGGACATAGAACCGAACTTCTTAAGTCTATAGCTTTAAATCATGCTCGAGTCATTCGTTGATCAATCGGGAGTATGGTACATTCCAACTCAAATGCTTCGCAAACCAAGACTCGAGGGCAATAAGCGTCTGCTAAATTGATTGAATTTGGATCATCTAGAATTACATCTAAATCTCTAACTATGGTGACTAGGACTGTCTTTGAATCACAATTTCAAAATGCTCGGATCACTCTTGTGGGCGACCCATGGTAATTATATCTTGTGATGCAGTTTTCTTCTAGCCACTAGTGAAATCATCACGAAAAACTTTTGAAGATCGTTTCCAAGAATAACATCTTGTTTGGGAAGTGTTTATAAATAGTATAATTTATAGACAGATAGAAATGAGTGGTTGATAATTGGGTAATACTCGTGAGTCCTAGTAATATGGATAAAAAATGGTTTGACGGATTATAAAACAGTTTATAAATAATAGCCAAATATGGGTTATAGATGTAGATCAAGGATGGACATGAACCTTGTCGGCTCATTCGGTAAGGTAGATTATATATCATTGTCTATTATATTATCAAAGACGAGTGGATGTATGAGTAAACTGCATAACAAACATGTTTTTGACTTATATTGTTGATTAATCCAAGTATCAATTTTAGTTGAGGTAATCCTTTCATATCATTGTATTGTCAATTAACAACTACTACTACCTAAACAATATAAATTAGGGTAATGATCGTCAACTTTCATCAGCAAATAAGGTCTTCTTCAACAACAAGCATAATAATTATTATTACAAAAAAAATTAAGCAAATTAAAAGAGGTCATGTGAACATGCATGTTAATAGTAAATATTGATAGCTTCTATTAATGGATTTCTTCATCTTGACTTTTGAGTGATAAGTTGGAGCATTTTCAGCAAAGCAGTGGTACTTTTAAATGCTTTTTGTTTCATCAAAGTGTTCAATATCAGCTTGAATTGTAAGTAAGGATGTATGAACCCATATTTGCAAAAAGCTTTAGCAAATATGAGCGCAAAAGATTTGGATTTTGTGCGTTCTTCTTAAGTTTGATTGTTGCATTGAGCATTTGCTCGACTTTCAAGCCTCATTCGCATCCCCTATCGATCAGTAAGTCTTTCTTGGCTCATTCAATTTGTAATGCTGGACACTAATTAGATAGTACAATGAACAAGTTTTTTATTCTTTTTTCCGTTCTTAATACTATCTAGTCTTGACCACATTAGTCATTCATGCCACTAGCTATTGGCATTAGCTTCCCTTCTTTGATTATGCTATAAAAGCGTTTTGATTCGGTTTACTCATTTGAAAATTTGGCTTTTTGTCACAGTTGGTGATGGCGTGAATTTGCAGTTGTCAATTGATGCTATTCAGAACAAACTTGAATTAAATACTTCAAGTGAGATTTCCCAGCCAACAGGTAAAATGCTTGCTAAAAATTGGTGTTTCCATGGATCATTCGTCGAGTTGCATGACCAACTCGACTGACTGACGGTTATGATAGAGCTTCGCGTTTCATCTTTCGTCCACAAAAATGCTACTCACGGCATAAGAGGCTCAATCACAGCCGTCAATCATCCTACTACTCGCGAGTCGCAACTGATGATATATTTAAGCACCAAGACCTTTTGATATAGTGAACTCAGTTTCAGATTCTTCCCTTTTCATTACAGTTGACAACGATGCAAATTTGAAAGTGACTACTATCAATGCCAGTCGAGATATGGTTTTAGTTAACGACATGAGTGCAAGCTCCTACCCAACAGGTAAAATTCTTACTAAAGATTTGATGATTCCAGGCATCACTTCTGACGATATAAAGGAGGAAAAATAAGCAGAAATCCAATCTATTGAACTGCTCAGTACGATATAATGCTCATAAAAAGCCTTCTGATAAAGGGAACTCAATTTGAATTATTGTTTCTACAGTTGACAATGCTGCAAATTTACAAGTATCTATCGTCGATCTTGTTCAGAATAAGCTTATGGTTAACGACACAATTGAAAGCTTTCGGCCAACAGGTACGCGTAAGAAAGCTTGCTGAAAAGTCATCAGTTTCTTACGTCGCATATGAACTCTGATTTCTCATTTGCAGCAACTGAAACGACGAAAATTGAGCCATTCTGCAGCATTTTAGAACCAATGGCAGACTATTGTGAAATCGAAGGGGATGTAAGGATTCACGCGAATTCTTCCACCGTGTTCTTCGTCACGACTCACATAAGCAGCTTGAAAGGAAACAGTTCTTGGCAGGTAAAGCCTTACGCAAGAAAGGCGAATTTTGGTGCAATGAAGTATGTTAAGAACTGGACAGTAAAATTAGCAGAAAATAAGGATGATATTCCAATGTGTACTAAAAATCATAGTTTTCCAGCCATCCTTTTGTCAGTTGAAGGATTTTCAGGTAACCATTTCCATGATATCTCAGATTTGGTGATTCCATTATATTCAACATCGTTGAAGTTCGAAAGGGAAGTACATTTTCTTACAACTGATACGAAACCATGGTGGGTATCAAAATTTCGAGGATTGCTTGACAAACTAACCCGTCATGAGATCATCAACATAGACAAGGAAAAAGAAGTCCATTGCTATACGAAAGTCGTCGTCGGCCTTAAATCTCACAAAGAGCTTATAATCGATCCATCGATATCTCAAAATAATGGATTGTCAATGCACAACTTCAGACAGTTCCTCCGACTCGCTCGAGAGAACCAACGCGATCGAGTTAAAGAAGGATGACACAAAAAGACCTCGTTTGATGATTATATCGAGAACTAGGACTCGTTTACTAACAAACGAAGCTGAAATAACTACACTGGCTCGAAAAATGGGATTCGAAGTTATTGTAGACGAGGCTAATCATTCGACAAACCTTTCGAGATTTGCACAAATGGTGAATTCTTGTGATGTACTAATGGGAGTTCATGGAGCTGGATTAACAAACATGGTTTTCCTTCCAGATAACGCGGTTTTAATCCAAATAGTTCCATTGGGAGGCATTGATGGATTTGCTAGAACAGATTTTGGAGAACCATCTGATGGTATGAACATAAAGTACTTGGAATACAAGATTAAGGTTAAAGAGAGTTCTTTGAGTAAGCAGTATCCGTTGGATCATCCAGTTTTTAAAGATCCAAGATCTTTTCATATCAAGGGTTGGGATGCCCTTAGGAAAACATACTTGGATCAGCAGAATGTGACAATTGATTTGCATAGGTTTAAAGGAACATTGGCTAAAGCCATGAAGATTTTACATCATTAGCTTTGTTTTTCAAGTTATTTATGTTCATTCTTTTTCAATGTCTACTCTTGTAGAAAAGGGGTGGCTGTGTACCACACCTTATTTGTTACTTTTTAACAATGTTTTGAAAATTTACAATAAAATAAAAAGTCAACGGTCTAAGGATCAGAAGAGTCACCTTAAAAATATTATGTGTAACAGAAATGTATACAAGAAGATATAAAATAAAATAAAAATACTATGCACCCATTCGGTAGGGATTAAAATTTTTATTTTAATAGATCAAATTCAAAAATTAATTTTAACCATTTATTTGATGAAATTCACAACTTTTCGACTACACATTTCATCAACTTTAATAAAAATCTACTGAGAATTTGCTTTTTATTCCTACCAAAACAGGGGCAATTGGAAAAATAAAATAATTCAAGGTAGATAGATAACTATTATTATTTCAGGATTTGTTTGAGATAAATATTAAATCAAGACGCCCCCTACTTGGCGGCCCTAAATCTTTATTTCCAAACATGCTTTGAAAAAATTACTTATTTTAACAGTGGAATGACAGTAACTTAATTCAAATTTTGATGAACAAAAAATATTCTTTTTATATCTCATTTACTTATAAGCAAACTTACGTAAAAGAACGAAGTTTCAGTTCAGGCAAACATGCACTTGCCTTGAAACATTACAGCAGCTGTAGAGAATGACACTACTATTATCACTGTATATGCTTCATTCCTGTTTCTTAATTTACAAATATTGTCACCACTTTGCCCAAGAAAGACAAATACAAAAAAACCCTATATAACCCATAATCAAGCCTGAAAATCCACCCTAAGCCCACTCAGTCCCCGTTTGAAGCACGCTCCTGCATATCTACCTTAACTCAATCTTAAATTACGCGCAAAATCTAACGGCACATAAAGAGACCAAGTCTACTCTAGGGATGAGGAAAATATGAAACGGATTCCTAATTAGGTATCTTTCGTATCAAAGATGTATAGGATGTGCACTTGTGTTGATCTGGACTGATCCAAATCGTAGACCTGATGCATATTCGAGCAGGTGGCCAGGACTTTTATGGCCTCCAAAGAATGAAGGAATCTTGTTATGGCATTTTAAAATACCAGCTTACCGTAGCAATGCTTTTCCCATAACACTACACACGCGATCGTAGCGACCTCATCCTCGAGGGCATGTTTGGCTAAGCTTAAGTAGTTCACTTTTATGTTACTACATATCTGAAGAACAAGTCTGTGTCGTATCATTCCAACCATATACTCAATCAAGTTTCTGCCTCCTAAAATGTCATTTTTACTCCAAAACTGAGGGTTAAAATTGTAGGAATGAAGTTGGACAATTTTCTGAGATTTCATCTCGAGCAGAATCAGTCGGCCACTTGCAATGATTATTAAGTATATTGATATTCTTGATCAAAATATAATGCCTATATGCAATTACCTCCACCTTGCAGCAGGAGTTTGCTGTTTCTTCTTGCTCTTCTTCAGAATGGCAGACATGTAGTCGACGGTTTTTTGGGATGATTGACTCTCGCCTGTCAGCCATTGCAGAGCCTCTGCAGCTGCATCTTTTTCTGCTTCTTTCTTACTACTGCAAGCCCGGCCTGCAAAATCTAATCCATTAAATATGACGGTGGATCTGAACTTGTTGTTCTTCAGCTGTGCTGTTTTGTAAGTAGGTGATTGATGTCCTGCCCGTGCAAGCAAGGTTTGGAGGCGGGATTTTGAATTATCACCAGCACCATCATTTGTCAAAGAAATATCTTTTTTCGTCTTTTTAGAGGTCGCTGACACCTGTCGTCCATATACAAATCTACCTTCGCATTGGTCCTCTGAGACCAACAATCTCACAGCCGTTAGGAGTTCATCCTGACTCCGTACGTCCAATTTCGGATTTAAAAGCTGCCATAGAGCAAACAAGTATTAGGTGAAGAAAGAAGCATCATCTTTGTAACACTACCCCGAGAATTGACCCGAAAATGTGAAGGTTAAACAGTAAAACGATTCAACAGGGTAAAACCGAAGGTCAAAAATAATTAATTTAGATCTACCAAAAAATAAATACAAAGATAATAAATTTTCATTCATATGAAAACAAAAGATGTATTAATAACAAAACATTAGAGGTCTATCATCTATGATAAAAACATAGCACGATAATGGTTAAAGTCAACAGCATGATAATTGTTAAACTCAACTCTTAAAATGAACTATTCCTTTCTTTCCCAAAAAAATAAAAATAAAAATAAATAAATCCAACTGTTCAACCCGTAGCTGGGTCAATCGGTTCCCCATTACAACCGGCCAATTGACCAGGTGTCAAGGACCGCAGCTTTACTTAGCCCCTTGACACTATCGCAGCCGCAGTTTGCCCAACTTCGACCGCACATTGTAAATACTACTTTAAATTTGAGTTGTAATTTTCGTTTCATTGTAATAGTTATTTTAATTGTAAAATAGCTCTGATATTGGTAAAAGATTAGTATGATTCCTCGTCTTTTAAACGTCTACTCCCGTCACTTGAGTTTTTGTTCAGAATGCTATTATAGGGGGTATTAGTCATTCAAAAATCTTTCAAGCTCACTGGTGTCCGTCCCCTGCACCAGCATTTGTAATTTTCTGTTTTCATCAATTGTAATGTTCAGTTTTCAGCAATCAATGTTCAATTTAATTTCAATGTATTCAAATTTTCAATTGTAAGCTTTCTACAAAATTGCAATCAAATTTTCTTTCGTCCCGACGCGACCGAGAAAAGGCGGAAGGTAGTCTAGCGGAGCAGACTACTGCCGCACGGTGTCCCTTTCTGTGCCAAGAACAAAGGCATCCCGTGAAAGTTGGTATCAGAGCTGCGGCTCAAGACCCTCGGTAAGAAAGCAATGGATCCAATTACATCACACCACTGAAGTGGTAGAGCCTCAAAAGAAGGGTACTAAGAAACAGCGCGTGGATGCGCTTGATGAGACAGCTACTAGGTTGTGCTATGCTGTGGAAGGTCTCGAGGAAAAAGTCGAGATGGCCGAATCTGAGATTCGTGGATTACACATCCAATTGGATGAAAGCCAAAGAGCTTGCGCAGCAATGACGGAAGCTGCTGCAATCATTCCTGATCTGCAGGATGAAATGGAAGCGTTGAGAGCTCAATTACGAGTACTCCAACGTGCGGTGAGCAATGGGCAAGCTCCCGCACACGAGTATGCTCCTAGACTCAGAATTCCTGAACCGTGTACCTACGGAGGGGCACGTGATGCAAAAGAAGTCGAAAACTTCTTGTTTGATATGGAACAGTACTTTCTAGCAGCTTCAATCGAAGATGAAGCTAGAAAGGTAACCACAGCTACCATGTATTTGGGTGGAGATGCAAAATTATGGTGGCGAACTAAATATGCGGACATTCAGGCCCACAGGATTCGAATTGATTCTTGGGATCTCCTCAAGGAAGCGATCAGATCGTTTTCCCGGAAAATGTCGAGTATCAGGCTCGACGGGCTCTTCGAGACCTGAAACACACGAGCTCTATCAGGGAGTATGTGAAATCCTTCTCAGGGCATATGCTGAATATTCGAGATATGTCAGAAAAGGACAAACTCTTCACCTTTATGGAAGGGTTGAAACCGTGGACACGCACGGAACTTCAAAGACAGAAGGTTACTGATTTAAGCACGGCCATGGGAGCCGCTGAATGCTTGAGCGACTACCAAACAGAATCTAGAAAAGATCGACCTTCGGGGAGTAATCAAGCAATTGGAGGTGGTAACAGATCTTACAGACCCAGCTCGAACCCAAATGGGGGAGAGCGCTACTCTCAAAATAGAGAAGGAGCCTATCAAAGCACCCGTGGCTATCAGGGAAACTATCCTAATAGCCGTCAAGGAAATTTTAACGGCAGCAACAATAACAACTGGAACAAAGGAAAAGTAACAGAGGGCCGAACTGATGCCACTCTAAAATTGAAGTGCTTTTTATGTGAAGGACCTCATCGGGTGGCGGAGTGTCCTCAGAAGCGGATGGTGAATGCATATTGACCAAGAAGGACGATTGATCATGAGATCGAACTTATTCCAGGCGCTAAAGCTCCCGCCAGGGCACCGTACCGTATGTCTCAGCCTGAGCTTGAAGAGCTTAGGAAGCAGTTGGGGGAAATGTTGGAGAGTGGAATCATTGTGCCGGCGAAGTCGCCATACGGAGCTCCTGTATTGTTTCAGAAAAAGACTGATGGTTCTCTTAGAATGTGCTGTGACTATCGAGCCCTGAACAAGATTACTGTAAAGAATAGCTATCCTATCCCACTGGTTGCAGATTGCTTCGATCGACTGAGTCGAGCAAAGTATTACACAAAAATTGATCTTAGGTCCGGATACTGGCAAGTTCGGATTAAGGAGGGAGACGAAGCAAAGACTACGGTGGTAACCAGATATGGAGCCTTTGAATTTAAGGTGATGCCTTTTGGTTTGACAAACGCTCCACCAACATTTTGTACTGACAAATGCTCCAGCAACATTTTGTACTATGATGAATCAGGTACTTCACGGGTTCTTAGATGATTTTGTCGTGGTGTACTTGGACGACATAGTAATCTACAGCGAGACATTGGAGGAACATGTCCAGCATGTGAGGCAAGTTTTTAATCGGCTACGAGAGAATGAACTTTATGCTAAGCCGTCTAAATGCTCATTTGCTCAGACATCTATTAGTTTCTTGGGTCACATCATTGAACAAGGCAAAATTCGCATGGATTCGAAGAAGGTTACAGCCATCAAAGATTGGCAACCACCAAAAACCGTACATGATGTACGTTCATTTCTTGGGTTATGCAATTACTATCGAAGATTTGTGAAAGGCTACTCAGAAATTGCACTGCCCCTTACTGAATTGACAAAGAAGGATAAGGATTGGGATTGGTCATCCCAATGCCGAGCTGCCTTTGAAAGGTTGAAGAAGTCCATGTGGACGAACCCGGTTTTAGCCTTACCGGATATGGCTAAACCATTCGAAGTTCATACAGATGCTTCAGATTTTGCCCTTGGTGGAGTCCTCATGCAAGAAGGACATCCGGTAGCATATGAGAGCCGAAAGTTAAACCAGACAGAACGTCGTTACTCGGCACATGAAAAGGAATTGTTAGCAGTTGTCCATTGTCTCAGAGGATGGCGTCACTATCTGCTTGGGTCTCCATTTATTGTGAAGACAGATAACACTGCAGTTAGTCACTTTATGTCCCAACCAAAACTATCGAGCAAACAGGCTCCTTGGCAGGAATTCCTTTCGGAGTTCAATTTTATGTTAGAGTATCGTCCCGGCTCTAATAATCATGTTGCTGATGCTCTTAGTCGACGGGCCGATTTGGCTACCATCTGCTCTATAGCTGCTCTTTCAGGGAGCGCAGTCTCCACGAACACTAGAGACCAAATTCGGGCACTTATGGAGAAGGACCCGGCTACCCAATATTTGGTCGACCTTATCAAGCAGGGTAATACTCGACAGTTCTGGCTAGATGGAAGACTAGTGAAGACAAAGGGAGACCGCCTATATGTTCCTAAGGGTGGAGATCTGAGGAAATCACTAATCACGGAATGCCATGACACAATTTGGACGGGGCATCCTGGAGAGGAACGCACTTGTGCACTACTACAACGTGCATACTACTGGCCTCAAATGCGGGACGACATTGCAACATATGTAAAAACTTGTCTTATTTGTCAGCAAGATAAGGCAGATCATCAGAAAAAGGCGGGCTTGCTGGAGCCCCTTTCCGTTCCATCCCGGCCATTTGAAAGTGTATCGATGGACTACATTATTGGGTTGTCAAAAGTTGAGGATTTTGGCACTATCATTGTCGTGGTGGACCGTCTATCAAAATATGCAACTTTCATTGCAGCGCCTAAGTATGTATCTGCGGAAGAGACAGCTCAACTCTTCTTCAAACATATTGTCAAATACTGGGGGCTGCCTAAGGACATCGTCAGTGATCGAGATCCTCGTTTCACTGGCATATTTTGGACTGAGTTGTTCAAACTTCTTGGTTCAACTTTGAGCATGAGTTCCAGTTTTCACCCACAATCTGACGGACAGACGGAGCGCTTCAATTCTATGCTAGAAGAATATCTTCGGCACTTTATCTCTACTTCGGAGAAAAACTGGGTAAAACTTTTGGATGCGGCCCAAATTTGCTTCAATGCCCAAAAGAGCTCTTCCACCAATAAGAGTCCTTTTGAGATTGTTACTGGCCAGCAACCGCTACTCCCTCATACAGTGGATATTGAACGAAGTACCAAGTCCCCTCAAGCAAAGAGCTTTTCTCAAGAGTGGAAACGAAATATTGAAATTGCTCGGAGTTATCTTGAAAAAGCTCAAAAACGGTATAAAAAGGCTGCAAATCTAAAGCGCCGTTTTATTGAATTCAATGTTGGAGATCTGGTAATGGTTAAGCTTCCCGACAGAAATGTTTACAAACCAACAAGAGGGAAGGACTCAAGATTGTCACCAAAATACATTGGACCATTACCCATTGTGAAGAGGATTGGAAGAGTTACATACAGAGTTGAACTCCCTTCATGGTGTAAAATCCACAAGGTCCTTCATGTTAGTGTGTTGAAGCCATACTTTTCGGATAAGGAGGACGCATCTAGAAATGAGCCAAAGCGACCTGTATTTGAACTGAAGAAAGCTGGAAAGAAGGTTGCTGAAGCTATTCTTGACCATCGAATCACTCGGGCTTCTAGAAAAAATCATCAGGAGTACTTGGTCAAATGGATGGGATGCAGCAGCGAGGAGAATACTTGAGAAAGAGAAAAAGATCTCGGGGCCTTCAAATCATTAATTGAAGCGTATCATGCATTGATGGCACCGAGGACGTCGCCAAAACAAATGGGGGAGAATGTCAAGAACCGCAGTTTTACTTAGCCCCTTGACACTATCGCAGCCGCAGTTTGCCCAACCTCGGCCGCACATTGTAAATATTACTTTAAGTTTGAGTTGTAATTTTCGTTTCATTGTAATAGTTATTTTAATTGTAAAATAGCTCTGATATTGGTAAAAGATTAGTATGATTCCTCGTCTTTTAAACGTCTACTCCCGTCACTTGATTTTTGTTCAGAATGCTATTATAGGGGGTATTAGTCATTCAAAAATCTTTCAAGCTCACTGGTGTCCGCCCCCTGCACCAGCATTTGTAATTTTCTACTTTCATCAATTGTAATGTTCAGTTTTCAGCAATCAATGTTCAATTTACTTTCAATGTATTCAAATTCTCAATTGTAAGCTTTCTACAAAATTGCAATCAAATTTTCTTTCGTCCCGACGCGACCGAGAAAAGGCGGAAGGTAGTCTAGCGGAACAGACTACTGCCGCACGGTGTCCCTTTCTGTGCCAAGAAGAAAGGCACCCCGTGAAACCAGGTCTTGTAGCAGGTTTTTCCACTTATATAACCGTCCTGATTCCTGATTTTTCTGGTCGTATAGGACAGGCCAGGACAGATTTCATAACATTGATCTAGCCATATAGTCCTTGTAAATATTCTTTTTATGGTAAACCAAAACATGTAAAGGTTTGTATTTGCATAAAATTAATATACCTTCTTCTGTACGAGTTCGTCAAGCTCTTTCTTTAGAGTTAGATAAGTTGCTGCCAAATCAGGCTTCATAAAAAATTCCAAATATCCGTCCAGCATTTTCAAGTGGCCATCCTAAACAAAAATGATAAACGGATTTACAGTAAGTATGTGGAAAACTGCAAAGACGACTGCGGAAACTTCAACAATGTGGTGGTGATAAATCCACAAGGAACAACATACTTACTAGTCCACCTCTGGAAATATTTCCTCCAAATAAGAGAACCACAGAATCAGATACGCCAGTAGAATCACGGAGGAATACTGAATTTACTTTCACTTTTTCATTGAAAACAAGCCACGGATAAGGAATTTTAGGTTCTTGGGCGTTCACAGAGTTCTGACCAGAAGAAGGAAGGAAAATGTTGAACACAATATCCAAGTATCTAAACCAAGGTACTATTAAAAAGTGTTGAAGACTCAATAGCAGTTGGGAGTAGTATGACACTCACCGAATACAAAAGTACTCCACCATCCTCCATTGTTTTCAATGATATTGACTTCTCCTTGTTCTGGAAAGATGTGGTTGTATTAGCTCTTCAATTTCCATAATGATTAGAAGGTAGGAAAAAAAGAAATCACCCGAACATTGTGGTGGAATTACAAAGGTAAAATTGATGTCTTGAAAAAAATTGGTTCAAGAAAAATGGAAAACCTATTCATCTCAAAGTTCACCAAATAATCCATTATAGACCCATATCAAAGTTCACCAAATAATCCATTATAGACCCAAGTAACCTTTTCTCTTTTGGGGTGGGGAGGTGGGTGTTTGTCGGTGTAACCGAAGGCCTCAACCTAGGAATCCAGGGGGGGATTATATAGAAGTATAATGGCATGTCTCGTACTCAATATTGAACAGGATAAGGCAGTATGATGAATAAGAATTTAGTATTTTCTCGTTCCTTCGTACTGTCTAATCTTTTACAATCTACATTTCCAAAGAAACCACGAAGTATGTATAACTCACCACAACAGAGCATACTCCAGGAAATAGACCAGCGCACACAATTGCCCGAATGAGATGCTCATCATGACTCGATGTGTTGCAACTTTCCATATTATCAACCAACCCAATGTCCTTGAGCAGATAAGAGAACTGCTTTTTAAGGGAGTCAATGGCTTTCAGAGTTTGTGCAGAAAGGAAATTTTTCCAACAGTATTCATAACCAGAACGATGACTTTCAGCATCTTTCCAACCCTCATAAGCCCGAAGCAAAGCAAGATGGTCACTGAAGTCACGTGCAGAAAACTGGGCCTTTGCAGAATCGGCAAGCTGCAAGAAGAGAAAAAGAGATTACTGAAAGGTAACTTCTTCCATCTTTTGTAATTAGAAATGGCTGTCAAAGGACATCTACTTTACAAGGGAACGCTACGGAATTTCGATCTGAAGAAAAACAAATCTCAGAAAATTAGAAAGGAGAAAGATGTACGCATCACATTTGGCATTTTTGTGGTTTTGCAACGTAGAAACATGATATTTAATAAAATAAATGAAGCAGATCCATGAATGAAGATAAATTAGCACAGAGATGGCTTGTTTGCACACTGAAAACAGCTAAAAGGTTAGTCAGACATGAAGTCTTAACCACAGGATTCCATAAAAGCTACAGATGGTGAAATCCACAATCGTACTTAATCAGTTATTATTCATGCTACTTACGTCCTTCTTGTCAAATGGTGCCAAGAATGGATCTCTGACACTGAGACCAGCAACAATGGTCATTACTGGATCCAAGCAGCTGAAAATAGCTCCTAATATGAGCATTTTTCCAAGTTTTGGTTCAACAGGAAGCATGGACAAGTTGCGCCCTGAAAGCAAGCAATTTTATCACTAATCTTTTCTTCATCCAGTAATTCTAAAAATGACATCCTTGAGACAGCACAGAAAATGAAAGTCTCGAGAAAAGGTAACAAGTTTTGAATTCGACATGTACCTAGCACTGTTAGATTTTCATTTTCATCTAAAGCCCCAATTATCTTCAAATACTCAACAGCATTTTGAACCTGAAAAGCAGATGAGAACCCAATAAACAAAGATGAAACAAGAAAAAAAGGCAGCAGTGTGAGGAACGTACTTCAAGGGTACGGGGAAGGTGGAGTGTGTTACATATCAATGGAAGGTTCATAATAACTTACTGATAACAGCTCGGGTGGCTGTAGGGCCTTAGATAGGAAGTCCGAAATGCTACCAAGTTGTAGACTCTTGATTTGCAAACATAGAGATTGTAAAGGAGTTCTCAAAAGTTCTGGCAATTGATAATCTGCAAAGGCATCATGTACACATCTAGGATAAAGATGGTAACACTCGCCTGGTTGAACACGGCCTGCCCTGCCTTTCCTCTGTTGAACAATGGAAAATTAGTAATTTGCACTGATATACTAACAAGTTCAGGAAGTTTGGTAGATTAGAAAAATCTTACTTGGCGAACAGAGGCCTTTGAAATCCAGGTAGGAAGCAAACATGGAGTGTTATTAAGGGCATCATAAGAAGTCTCTTTTGCTTTTCCACAGTCAACCACGAAAACCACATCATTAATGGTGATACTTGTTTCAGCCATGTTTGTAGCCAGAACGATCTTCCTGACTCCATCTTCAGGCTTATCGAAAATCAATTTCTGTGTTTTGCAAAGAGTAAAAGTTCACAGAATGACACAAGGCAGGGAGAAAGTTACTAAGTAAGTCGGTAGATATTATAAACTAACTGTAAGGAGATAAAAATGCGTATAAGTTCAGTTGCACCATGCATATTCTTCAAATTGATATTACTACTCAATGCTCTAATTAATTACGATATCAAACAATGCCGAACATATCTGACAAAATAAGTTATAAACATCTTCCCCAAAAATAAGTGAATGAAAAAACCATTAACCAAGAAGTATGGAAAAGAAGCTAGAAAGGAGGTTGCCTCGGAATATTCTTCTATTTTCTTTTTCCAATTTCTGCAGAATTTAACCAGCGATATTAGCGAAAGCAGCAGGGGGTGGAGGACGAATCAATCCTTCCGGATAACAAGTTTTTGATCCTTCCATTTTTGTTCAGAAGGAAGTGAGAAATGACAAGTGCATCACGTCCCAGATTTTCCTTTCCTTATCACTCTCAAATCAAACAACTTGATCATTCCAATAATGTTGGATCAGCTGTTACGTCCTCCAAGTCAGATGCATAACATCCTTCTCACAGCTGATTATTTTCCCAGTTTCCATACCCAGAATGAGCACAACCATACAGGTACACAAATCAGTTTCTTGGCGTGCCTATTAGAGACTGGATTCATATTTTAAATGTTTAGGGTAGGTTGCAGGTAGAGTTGGAGAGCTTTATAAACTAGTAACACAACTCGCACGACACTGATATGATGAGGGGCATTAATGTTCAACCTCAGGCCTCATTTACTAAATGCTTTCTACACAAAACTATAATGCCTCCACAAAAAAATATTGTTTTGACCGTGTATTGGTAAGTAATATAAAAGTCAATAGCATGTCCTGAGAACTAGTTCCATAAATGACACTAATGTTTCACTATAGTTTGCTGAGTCTATAATTAAAAAAGAACAATGCAGCATGTAAACAGCACCAGTAAATGTCATATCACCTGTTCTGTGCTGGCCATTGAACCATGGCATGCTAGCAGCAGAACTCTGGTTGGATCTCCCAATAATGGATGAGCTTGAAGCTGATCCTTCAAAGAATTTATGTCATCCCAACCAGTCATAAATACTAGCACAGCCCCAGGCCTTTCGTTGCGACATATATGGCAAAGCACATGCTCAATGAGGTTGAAGCCAATTGAATCAGGATTCCAACAAGATAGTGACTCACGCGTACGGTGATCGTACTCCTTAAAATTAGCAGCCATAAGAGCATCCTGTTTCAAATCCCAAAGTTGAAGATTAATAAACCAACCAAAAATTAGAAAGGGACCGGAAAGGCAGGCTGGCCTTATAAAGAACTCATACCTCAACAGATGAAGCAATTTGAGTTTTCCTTTTTCTGAGACCCTGCTTCTGCATTTTCCACATCTTGTCTTGACCATAATTATCAATTTGATTATAAGGCGTTAACCTGTACCCGGTCATCTCTAGAATATTTTCCAAAAAATGACATCGAACTGGGTATGTAAAACCCTGATTTTAAGGCATAGAATAGTCCAGAATCAAGAGTTGTAAGTTGCATTGGGAAGGAGGAAAAAAAAACTCAGTATTAAATTAGCACCAGTAACACGAAAAGAAAACAAAAAGAAACCAAGAGCAGTTGTTTTTGTTAAAGCAAGATGTACCTTTAGATAAATTAAGAAGTTTTAGCATGTAACCATATACTGGATATTCCTAGCTATGATTAATAATGCTAGCAGCTGTACTGATAAGAGAGGTGGTGGAAAACAATGCATTTTGCGTTAAAAATTAATTTCGCTGTTTCACTACAGAAAACAATAATTACTAGGTAGATTTAGAATGGTTAAGAAAATCAGTTATACAGGAGAGACATCTTTCTCTTTGATAGTCAGAGAGTGGTGGTACAACATATATATGCAAGGAAAACAGTATTTACACGAGTATTTGTCAATTATCATGCAAAAGTTAAAAACTCTTCGCATTCTAACTTACTGGGATGTGGATCATTGGAGCACCACCAAAATAGGAAGAGAAAAGCTCAGCATTAAGTGTTGCACTCATCAAAATCAATCTCAATTCAGGTCGACGAGGAAGGAGATCTTTCAGGACAATTAATAGGAAGTCTGCAGTGAAAATGCAGACAACAATAAGAACATTGTCAATAAAGGAGCAGAAAAGATCATCAGATAAACAAATACCTTCATTCATTCCACGTTCATGAATCTCATCTACTATTACATGAGTTACACCTTTCAAACTTCTGTCAACTAGTAATCTCCTTAAAAGGATCCCAGTAGTACAAAACAGGAGGCGGGTATCCCTCCCTTTCATTCCCTCTAACCGCACTTTATAACCAACCTTCAAAAATGGAGAAAAAATAATAATAAGGGAAAAGAAAAAGAAAAAGAAAAAGAAAAATAAGGAGACTCATGAAAATATTCCTCAGAATAACAGTCAAGAACAACTTTATGCAGCAACAGGTAATGGACTTACAGATTCTCCTATTTTCTCACCACGCTCAGCAGCAACTCTCTCAGCAACTGCCATAGCAGATATTCGTCTAGGTTGGGTGCAGATAATGCTGCATGCAGCTCCTTGAGTGTTTTCAATTGCTGACTCTAAAATGTATTGAGGCAGCTGTGTAGTTTTACCACAACCAGTTTCACCAGAGACAACCACCACCTATAAACTCAATTTCAATCAAGGTCATGGAACAGTGCATCTAATAACTAGAGACTTGCTTCAACTAGGTTTTATATTTATTTTCCTACAACTCAATATGTAACATTCTAACAATGTCAAATACCTATTATCAAAGAACCAAGGATCACATGAAGTTTGAAGCCTTTCATATATCAGTGTTAATGCTAGAACTACACCACCAAATATGGAAGTAAAATGTAAATAGTTATCAAGCTGTCTAGTTGGTTACTTTCACAAGAAAGTCATACCCCTCCGTTTCAATTCAATCTCCTTCATACTCTAGTCTGTTTCCCAATAATGAATGCCTACTGAACTTATTCTTCTTTGTTCCTCAAATGCACCCTCTAAAATATCGATTAACAATCATATGCAGCAATTTCCTACTAAATCTACCTTCCAGCAAAACAAGCCACCACCATGTCCATTGCCGCCATCACATCAAGACCAGCTGCAGTAGTCATTAATACAAACAAGCCATAGATCCAGGGTAAATGGTGACCAGTTAGCCATTGGACAGTTGGGTGGCATTAATATAAAATATGGAAGAAAATATTTTAAAATATGATAAATATGTCTAATATCAATTAAAATATTTAAAATTGGCGAAACAACCAAAATATAGTAGTTTGAATTTGAAAAATCATTCATTAGAATTAACAAAGATGAAATATACCATGGATGTACATATTAGAATAGAAGAGATCAACTCTTATAGGAAAACTTTTGTTTGCAGTATCTAAGAATAAGTCACGGATGATGAATGTGACTACTGCAAGCAGGATGACCATTTTCATGAAAAATTATGGGTGTACGTTGACAGGGCAAGAAATTGTGGGTAGAAATGGTGCGATAACATTTAAGTTTCTACTCTGGGGCTGTGTCAGATGGCTGGAAACGGTAGTAGGTTTCTTTAAATTATTGTTCCCTTTTCTTGAGGATCTCATTAGAGACTCCAATAGCCATAAGCATAGTCACTTACTCTCACCTAAACAATCAAAGTTCGTGCAAGCCATCCAAATTAAAAGGGAATAAAATTCATGTTCTATCAATATAAAAGCCCCCCGGAGGGGGGGGGGGGATTACACGTCTTGTAGCACGATGGATATCCAAAGAAGCGACATATAGTTAGAGTGTCAATGCTAAATCCATCAGAGTAAAACTCAAAATGTATAGAAGAAATTGTACGATCAGACCGTACACATAAACAGAACTTTTTGATAGAATAATCCATTATGTACCTGATTTTCAGAAATAACACTCAATAATGCATCTCTCTCTTTATATGCAGGAAGGCTTTTCCGAAATTCTTGCATCTTTAGGCCTTCGGCAGATTCCTATATAAAAGGAAACTTTCAAGATCACAATTGCAGATACTTGTTTAAATGCTTGAAATATAAATATATACATTGAAGCATATTTCAAATTCCAAAACTGAATTGTGAAGACATTCAGAAACCAAAAGTAGTCACGATTCAGAAACGATAATTTTTCTCCACAATATTCCTAGCTGAGTGATAATTTTTCTCCACGATATTCCTTGCTGAGTAACTAATTTTTAATCAACACCGGAAAGCTATTATTAATACTTAAAAAAGAAACTCCACTCACCACCCTCACAAAGCAGTAGTCTCCCAAGGGGAAAAAGTAAGCCGCCTTTAAATTTGAGAAAAGCAGAAATCCCTCTACAAAGATGTGGCAGCACACGAAGTAATGAAACTATCTTCCTAATTGATTGAGTTAGCTAAAAAGAAAGAGAATACAAGTGCCAATGAATGATTTGAATGCTACTGTACCAAATTTATAACCCCTAAATAAGAAGGCAAAAAGTAGTGAGAAACAAAACTCTCAGTACTATTTCTTGCTTATGTGAAAAATATGAGGTCTCCATCTATCAATGAAATTTCAAGAAATAAAATTTTCATGTAGTTTTCCTGAAAACTTTAGAAGCCTCCAGAAGAACCAACAAATGGGTGATCAAGAAGCAAAAGGAAAATGCAAAATATGAGGCAAGTGAACATGAGCAGGTCGTATCTAAACATCAAAAAATGAAATCAAAATCTACCAGGGTAACCAAAGGTAATAAAACAAGTGCTCATCACCCAACATAGAAAACAAGATGCAACTCAAACAGGTACGTGAACTACTAGTGATTACTTAAATTTGGATGATAACCTCCCAATCTTGTTGTTTACTGCGCATTTGCACGCTCCTTCGTGTAAGAATTCTCTCTGCTACGACACTTCGAGGCGAAGGCTCCTCATGCTCACAAATTCCATCATTCAAAAGATTTTCACCAGCACCTAATCTTGAGACGGCATCATGAGGAAAGTTCTCCTTGTTCATAGGCTTTTTAGAAATGTGTGCTCTGAGACGAGAATCTACCTGCCTTTGCAACCCAAATGGTAACACCACCTATAAACATTCAAGTAATGGTTTTAATCATAAAACATGTGTAAATAAGAATTTAAAAGTCAAGAGATCAGATCAGACACAGAGAAAAAGCATCCACATTATTCATTTCTTGCAAATGTAGAAATTTCAAGAATGCTAAAAAAGTTCTCCATGAGAAGTTCTTTTCATTTTCAGTGCTAGATAGGATAAAGAGTAAGGCTGCAATTTAAAAGTTCATATAATTAAGATAATACCTCCCTCTGTGGACGCTTGTCATCCAAATCTGATCTATAATTTGGCAGTGGGACTTTACTGAAAACAACGCACTTTCCATACTGCTGGCTGCAATGAAATTAGACTATGCTAAAAAGACAGCAGAGAAGAAAGATGAGGGAAAAAATGTATATCAGATATCCTTTTAGAATCTTAGAAACCTGTGCAAACCAATTCTGGTTGCCAGTGCAGAAAGCTGCCCAAAATCACGCCTGTCCTTTTTCTCCCGTGTCACGACTTCTTGTGAATCTTTATTGCGCATTAGCATGGTCAGCTTCCACCTCCACTCTTCAATATTATCAAGGGTTGAAGCATCCTGGCAATCACAAATTAACAGTAGCACAATGATGGATATATGATCCAATAGGAAATTTTCATAAAGGAACACTTCTATCGAGAAGAAAGTTCATTTATACACTTCTAGAAGCACTTTTGTAAAGAAATAAGTCCGAGAAATGACACAAAGGTTTATAATAGAGAATATAATGCTATCTCCGATAAAGCTCACTGGGAAAGCCAGAATGAGTTTATCAAGCAGAAGAGTTGAAGCACTAATGAAGTGATAACAGAATATTATAACCCTTCACATAGTCCATTAATACTTGAACAACAAAGAAGAAAAAGAACAATTGTATCTCCAATTGGAAAACCACTACAGTTCCAGCACAAATAAGAAAAGTTTTATTTACCTTTCCTGGTGCATAATAATAACCATTTTCTACTATAACTAATTTCACGAGTACACGTAGCAAAAACCATAAAGAAATGTATTTTATGTCGAGCCAACCGTAAATAATTTCAAATAAACGGAAATAAATGTAAAAAAATCCTAATCGATGAAATTTACTGGTGCATTTTGCATCAACACTCTCAACTTAGGGATAGAAATTAGTCGTTTAATAAAAAATGACACAATAGCTTTGGAGTATTTACGTCGTCATTTCCACATAATTCAAATGAAATCTAAACGGAAAATTCTCAATCATTTCCAATACCAATTACTTCACCACCTAAAATCGCACAAACTCAAATGAGAAAATCACCACAAAATAAATCGAAGAATACTTACCAACTGCTTAGAAGATGATTCGGGTTCGCTATCAGACTCCTCCTCAGACGCATACTCATCGTATGCGAACCTACCATAGCCCAAATTCCGCTGATATAAAAATGGCAGAGAAGAAGAAGAAGAAGCGCCATTTCTACTACGCCTCAATACAACAGAAGAAGAAGGCCCCGAAGCATAGCAAGTAAAACAAAACCCCCTAAATCGAATAGGAACATTAGCATAATTTTGTGGGTACAAATTATGAAAAGCCCGGTTCAATTTTAGAGTGTTTATATGGGAGAAACTGGTACTAGACATGGCTCTGAGGTTCAGTTTTAACGAGTTGTGAATCAAAATCGAAGAGAAAGGCATGCTATATTGCTACTAATGAATTTGAAGGATTGAGATTTGTGGGAGCGAGGGGACGAAACGTGGAAATATTTGATTTTTGTGGTTAGGGTTCAAGGGGTAAAGAGAGGGGATAGCCAGCAGCTGCTTACTGGTCGCTGATAAGTTTGTATTTTGGTTGAGCAGCTTATAAGTAATTACTTATGAGTTAAAAATAGATTACCATCTTTTGTTAATTAAATTTTTCTCCTTTTCATTATCAATCACACAATCTTAAATAAAATAATATTATACATAAATCGAAAAATTTTCATTCTTTTACAACCATCAATTTTTAAAAAAGAACACCATTTCCCTATTATAATCAAAATTAATGGGGACAAACGGGAGCTTAGTCGAAAGATTTTCTAAGCACCAATAACATAAAATATTAAGCCTATGTTTGCCATCCTGTACTTTAAACTTTTTTTCATTATTTTTCTACAATACCCTTTTTTATCACACCACACAGTTCTCCATTAAAACAATATTACACACAAATCAAAAGCTTTTCCTTTTTTTTAATCACACATTCTCCATCCATTACTATTTCATAATACACTTTTCAAATTAATAGGGCACAAACAGGGCTTAAGTTATTGGCAAATAGTTGTCTTTAAAATTTAAACTAAATTTTTCATTCATCTGTGAATGTTTAAATCATAATGCTCTTTAAGTGCTATTTTACCCCCTTTTTTCTGGCTAAGAATGCATTTTGAAATAATAGATTGATGAAGAATATATCATTTTAAAAAAATAGTATTTGAGTGTAATATTATTTTGTTGAAGAATGTATGGTAAAAAATAAAGAAGAAAAAATGTATTTTGTGTTATGAAAAGAGAGAAAAAGACGGGAGAATATAAGTCAAAACTCGAGTATATATTATTAAGAATCAATGCGCTACATTTATATAGTCCAAAATTAGAGTTATAATTGTAATAAAATAGATCTTTTAAACTACGTAAGACTTATCTCTGTATCATCATAATATCAAATAATTATCTCATTATTTTACAACATTCCCCTTTGATGATTATTTGTTCAATAACTGTCTCATTGAAATCTTGTTTGGCAAAAAAATCCAATGGAACAAAAAAGCTAAGAAATGAAAAAAGAGTACAAATAATTAGAAGTAATAAAATGCTGCCTCGTTAAAACCTTGTCAAGAAAATTCAGTGGGACAAAATTTAATCGAAAGAAAAATAATACAACTACTTCCACTAGTTTTAATTCTCGTATCAAGCTATCCATGTTTCGTACATCAATGTCTTCAATATTACAATTTCTGATGAAGTATATCTCATGTTGTCTTGCATAGTCTTCAAATCACACCATCTTCATAAAAGATGTTTTATTATGGACGCTTTATTCTGTCTCCACTTATGAAAGGTCAAGCCGACCTTCCTTTAATAATTGTAGTAACATGATAATTCAAAAAATAAATTTTATTGATCTCTTCAAGAGTCTCGTACATATAATAGTATATATTTTGAAGGTAAAAACCTTACCGGGAAAACTCAATGAAACAAAGCCTTCACAAAGAAAAAAAAAAAAAAAAAGGTACAACGCTTATGACTCCCTCTCATGATATAGCTTGAAGTACACTTCGAGTATATTATATCATTCAAGAATAGTATTAATTTATATGTAAGATAAGTTGATTATAATCATATTTATTATATGCATATCAAATTTCATGCATTGTCACTCTAGTAAGGTAGAGATGTGTGATTACATCCACCACATGACAACTTATCTATTTATACAAGTTTTCACGACATTTATTATATAAAAAGTCATACATTTCATATTATGACTTTATTATTTCCATTTTCCTTTCGCATAAGTATACACCTTTTGATATTTGGATTGTGGATCCAGAAATTTTAGGTTTTTCTAGTAAATTTAATTAAGGATTGTATCCCTTTCATTTGGCTAATCATTACTTCGATCAATATATTTCAATGTATTTATTTTGATTCCTCGCTATATGATACAATATATCATGTGTAAAATTGTTGTCAACAACTTTTTCTTTTCTTGTTCGATTTTATTTATTTTTCCATAATGACATTAGTAATTGAGATATCCCGAGTTTCATTATTTCATGTACCTAAACTTCTTCAAAGATTTTATATTTTGTTTTGTCTAAATATTCATAAAAAAATACACGCCTCCTTAATGAGACCACGTTTGCTAATTGCTCAATTTTCGTTCGAAGATTTTTTTGTATTAGAAACGAACACTATCATACTTCAAGCGTGTCATACAAATATTAAATACTTCATGGGACATCATTTCTTGTTGGAACATATAAAAATTGCGCATGAGATATTGTTATCCCTTTGGTCAGTAAATGCATCTAAATAAATTATCTTTCGAATCTTCTGCAAAGATTTAGATAATAATGTATTTGTACATTATTTTCAATTTCTTAATTCTTTATCCTAATACTGAGAGAATTGTCTAATCAAAATTGACAATCAATAAAATCTGTTATTAAATATCACCCCTTTGAGATAAAGGGTTCAAACTGTGCATTTCTTCTCATCATTTGCTACTTTCTGTCTCAGTATATTATGGTGGATCAATTTTATATATACTGCAATATCAAAATAATTAGATGGAAAAATCAGGTTTTGATCATAAACCAATTATAATGGTGGAAATATAATATTGGCATGATGCATAATAGCATTCCCACTGAATTGGGAAGAACTTTGTTGTCAATTAGTTGGGGTGGTTTAATTAATAATAATGTTAAATCATTTATCGACATATCAACTAGCACTTATTAAAATATTGAGATGTAGAATTACTAGCATTAACAAGACACGGCCTTTATTATATAATCTGAAAATTATCCTCGTAATTTAAAATTTTAACAATAATTTCACAAATTTCAGATTGCGACAAACCATGCAATCATCTAGTATATGAGTAAAATCTATTGAAAATAAATAATATTTACACGGTCATCATGGGGATGGTGGGTCCCATTCATCACCCTAATTAAATTTTAGAAATATATGAAATCCATTCCCTATTTTAGCTAATGATGTTTAACTATCAATTTTTAATAAAGAGAATAAATATCATATAAAATTTTATTAGATTGAAGAATCTTCTAGTTCTTCATTCGATGTTTATTTGAATTTTGATTTCGCATCATTGTTGATCCAATGATGGTCCAACTGGTCATACCAATCAAATTGAAATTCTAGTTTAATATAAGATATAATCCAATTATTCAATTTTAAAAAATATGATTAAACAAGATATAATCATATAATGATCAATATCCACATGATATAAGTTGTATGTTTTCATTCAGGAGTAAATATGAATTCATAAATTACACATGATATATTATTCAAAACATGTGGTATTTCAAGAGCACGTTGTATTTTATTATCGTTTCTTTCAAGAGCAATATTCTTCTCAAAAATTGGAATCGTAATGTCACACTCTTTAGGAGCAATAACATATTATCATTTGAAATAATAAATTGTATAAAAATTTACTCTCAATGAGTAAAAACATAGCCCCCCATTTGGCCCTTTTTTTTCAAAATTTAATGTTTGGAATAGTATTTTTTTGAAAAATGTGTGGTTGAAAAAGAATGAAAAAGTGTTCGATTAACGTGTAATATTATTTATAGAAAATTATTTGGTTGAAATTAAAAAAAAAAAAAGAGAATAAGGGTCAAACGGGGGCATAATTTATTTTAGATCGTATTTAATTATGCTCTTCGAGAATAAGTAAATCCAACTAAAATATTTGTTAATATTAGCGTGTTACTTCATAAGCAATAATATTCTTTTAGAATATTGATAATGTTGTACTACTTCAAGAGTACCAATAAACTATTGTTTAAAAACATTAACTTTTTATGAGTATATTTTCTAGGCAAATATTAATATTTGCAGAGTTGTATGTATTCAAGAGTATTTTATATTTCATTATTACTTCTTCAGCAACAATAAATCAATATTTTTGTTTGAAATATTAAAAAAAATTGTAATCCATGCTTTTTTATGAGTAATATGTTAATATTATTATGAAATATTAAAAATATAGCTCATGCTCTTTAGGAGCAAGTAATATTCTTCAAAAATATTAATTATAATACTATGTTACTTTGAAAATAACAACATATTATATAATAGACATATATACAAGTACTAAATTCATAACTTATACTCGTATGAAATAGAACAGAAATTAATGGAGCTAATAACTTGCTGCACGCGTATCAATTTTTGATTTGGCTACTGCATTAAACCCTAAAAAAGAGGCCGATGCCCCAAGTACACATAGAATTAATTGGAGCATTAATCTTTAAGCAAAAATTTTGGTTCAATCAAATAATGTGGTAAATGAGTAAAAAAAGATACACATGGATATGCATGCAGTGTAATCAAAGAATAGTAATACACGTATATAAATTATCTCAAACCCCTAAAAGTCTCTGATCTCAAACCCCCAAAAGTCTCTGACCATACCCTAAAAAACATACACAAACTCGCCCACTTATCGCAGGTTTTTATTTTACTTTTATTATTATTTGTGTCAAATCTTATAATTATGAATCATTGAGCTTGTTTTTTCTATTCTGAGTTTTTTAGTAATATGCAAATTAGATAATAAGAGAGAAAAATGGTTAAAAAAATAGACCCGTAGATGAACCTGTTTGGAAAGACCATTGAGCTGCCAGAGACTTGACGGCGACAAGTATTATTGTAGTTGGTTTCACTCAATCTTGTGATGTTATCGATGATAATATTTTACTTCAAGATGCCCAAGCTTCATCAAATTCTGTTTTTATTTTTCAGACAATCGTGCTGATAACATGTTATGGAAAAAGAGAGCAAGAGAAGATAATACAAGAGTCAAAACTCAAGTATGTATTATTAGAAACCAATTTCCTATATTTATAGGGTCCAAAATGAAAGTTATAATTGAAATAAAATAAATCTTCTAAACCACACAAGACTTATCCGTGTATCATGATAATTATCTCATTCTTTTAAAACATTTTGAAAATAATGGGGGATCAAATAAGGTTTAGCTATTTTATTTTATGGATTAATAGCGTTTTTGACCGGGAGAGAGTTG